AAACTATTTCGCACAGTGTGACATGCAATGATCTTATAGGATTGCTAAAATCGTGCAGTGTGTTTTGGGCTTTACTGATTTGTACTAACTAAAAAAAAATAACTTTGTTTTAGATCATTGGTCTCAAACGCAATTCCTGGAGGGCCACAGCTCTGCACAGTTTAGCTCCAACCCTAATCAAACACACCTGATCCAGCTAATCAAGGTTTTCAGGTTTACTAGAAACTTCCAAGCAGGTGTGATTTGGAGCTGGTTGGAGCTAAACTCCTGCAGAGCTGTGGCCCTCCAGGAATTAAGTTTGAGACCACTGTTTAAATACTTCAGACTTTCATGTTTCAATAAAACAATGGGATATTTGTGTGTGTTTTAGGTACTGGGTGCCAGTGGAGTATGAGGACGATCAGGAGAAAGACAAAGAGAAAGAGGGAGACGATGAGGACAAACAGCCTGAAGAAGACTTCCAGTGTGTGGTTTACTTCTGGCAGGGCCGTGAGGCCTCCAACATGGGCTGGCTGACCTTCACTTTCAGCCTGCAGAAGAAGTTTGAGAGCTTGTTCCCAGGCAAACTGGAGGTACCACATGTTTGCATGGTTAATGTACATGTTATGAAATGTAACTTCATTGTGTTCATCCTGTTGCCTTGACTATGTAATCCTCATATGTATCATGAATGTTATGACTTTTATTTTAAGACGTCGTCATCATCTTGTGTATATTTCAGGTTGTGAGGATGACCCAGCAGCAGGAGAATCTTAAGTTTTTATCCCATTTCAAGAGGAAGTTCATCATCCACAGAGGCAAGAGGAAGCTAAAAGTGGACAGTGTGCAGCCAAGCTTATACCACATCAGAACCAATGGAAGTGCGCTATGCACCAGGTAACTATATGTTATGTCCAGCTAGCATATTTTCATCTGCTATGTCTAGAATAAAAGAATTTACATGTGTGGTGTTTCTGTTGTGTTTTTAGGACTATTCAAATAGCCACAGATTCCAGTAACCTCAACTCTGAATTCTGCTTCATACTGAAGGTAAACATGAATGTACTTTATACAACCTTTTCATGTGTTATAAATCATCAAATAATTATAAAGGAATAAAGATCATTTGCAGTGGTTTATAAACAGTTAATAACTCAAACGTTATTTGTGTAGGTGCCATTTGAAAGTACAGACAACCAGGGAATAGTGTACACGTGGGTGGGCCGAGCAGCAGACCCAGATGAAGCTAAACTGGCAGAGGACATCATGAACACCATGTTTGATGACACCTACAGCAAGCAGGTTCGTACCGCATTTATGAAAATCAAAACATGCACATTATATCTCAACCTTTTTTTTTTTTTTTTACAATTTGTTTTTTTTTTCCTTTTTCTTCAGGTGATAAATGAAGGAGAAGAGCCAGAAAATTTCTTCTGGGTTGGCATCGGTTCACAGAAGCCATACGATGAAGATGCAGAGTACATGAAATACGCTAGACTGTTTAGGCGAGTATTTCATTTCAGGTTAATTTATTTAAAGTCCCCCTGTAGTGAAAATCCAAGTTTTTTATGTTGTTTATTTGTCTATGTGGTGTTTTTAATATGCTTTTAGACAAACCATGTGCCAATCCACCACCATTGCTGAGTATTTTCTCCTTAAAACTTTAGTTTCCCAAATGGCTGACCCAGAAATGCGGTTTGAAACAGCCCTCGTTTTGCTACGTCACAATCCAATAACCAATCACGTCAAGGGATCGATTCCTATACTACTGTTCAAAAGTTTGGAGTCAGAAATTAATGCCTTTTATTCAGCAAGGATGCATTAAATTTGATCAAAAGTGACAGCAAAGACATTTATAATGTTACAAAAGATCTCTCTGTCAAATAAATGCTGTTCTTTTGAAGTTTTCATCAAAGAAGAAAAAAGGTATCATGGTTTCCACAAAAATATTAAGCAGCACAACTGATTTCAGCATTGATTATAATAAGAAATGTTTCTTAAACAGCAAATCAGCATACTAGAATGATTTCTGAAGGATCATGTGACACTGAAGACTGGAGTAATGATGCTGAAAATTCAGCTTTGATCACAGGAATAAATTACACTTTTAAAATAGAAATTCAAAAAGAAAAAAAAACATATTTTAAATGGTAATGAGATTTAATATTATGGCTTTTACTGTGTTTCTGATCAAATGTAGCCATTGTGAGCATAAGAAACGTATCATAAAATTCTTACCAAACCCAAACTTTTAGACGGTAGTGTAAATGAACTGGTTTTGTAACTTCTTTTATTTTTTTTGCATTTTGTCATATGTAATACATTCACCATATTTCTGAGGTTTTAATAGATTTGTCCTTTTGTCTCAGGTGCTCCAATGAGAAGGGTTACTTTGCTGTATCAGAGAAGTGCTCAGACTTCTGTCAAGATGACCTGGCCAATGACGACATCATGCTTTTGGACAATGGGAAAGAGGTAGAGCTTCATGTTTGCAGTCAAACAGATTCTCTTAGCAGTGGTTTCTGTTGCTGAGCTGTTTGTTTGCTTGTTTTGCAGGTTTACATGTGGGTTGGCACACAGACAAGCCAGGTGGAGATTAAACTGAGCTTGAAGGCTTGTCAGGTCAGTGGCAGTTTTATTGTACACCAGCACTTAGTTTTTATCTTTGCACACATACACAAGCCCTCAGGCCTTTCCTGTGCCTGCTTAACATTCGTGTCACCCTTCAATCAGGTGTATATTCAGCACATGAGGTCCAAGGATGCAGAGCACCCCAGAAAACTGCGCCTGGTGCGCAAGGGCAACGAGCCTCACTATTTCAGCCGCTGTTTCCACGCATGGAGCGCCTTCAAGACCGCTCCTGCATAAACCAGCCTCACACCTCACACAGTCTGTCTGAATACAGTTTGAGCATTAGGGTTCAGAAAACAACACCACTCACAACAGACCATACATTATTAATGTGCACTACATCACTCTCTTTAAAAAGCTCACATATATATATTTGCTAATTGAAGCAATATTATTGAATTTTATATTTATGTGTAGATTTGAAATCAAAGGAAGACCTGTCTAAATGATACAGCACTTGGGTAAGCGTTACCTCAAGAGATCAAATGCTGTATTCCTTAAGGGATGTTTTAAGAAGAACATATCTGTTGAGGGAGAGTCTACATTTTTTAACCATCTGGCTGCACAAGTGTTGTGAATTGTCATACCCGTTTACATTTTCTAAATTTTGCAGCGGTTATTTTAAAGACGACTCCTTATATCATTTGTCTGGGTTACACTTTTCATGTTTTATTCTGTAGATGCATATCATATACTGCCAAAACTTTCAGTTATTGAAAGCACAACACCTATGTCTGTTTCAGATATCACCTAAACAAGATGCTGATTTGGTGCCTCACACACTAGATTTTTTATTTTTTTTTTGCCTTTGAATGTTTCTTTCTATTAGCTTGATTAGTTTTACTGCTTCACTTTTGGGATGTTGACTCTGATGCCAATGCTGATGGAATAATGAATTGCACAGTTTATGTGGGATGTATTTTGTTATTTACATGTCCGAATGAGAATTTGTGCTTTTATGCCCTTAAACTGCCCCGTACATCTATACCAATGCAGCAGATAACAGAGTGGAACCCAGAGATTTTAATTAAAAACGCAGTCTGTAACTGGCAATCCAGTGGTAGTAGTACAACAGTGTTACCATGATTTGGTCTTCACATATCGAGGCTGTTTGAGCTACTTAGCTGACAGTTTCATTAATAACAGATTGTGATTAATGAAAGGAGAGAAAAGGTTATGGTCCTGTGTATGGACTACTTGACAGTTTTTTTTTTTTTTTGAATTTTGAATATTTGTTGAACTTGGACAGGGAAATTTGTTTAGCCAAGGAAATAAATATTCTTATTTTAATTATGCTAATCAAATTTGTTATGGCTGTCATAAAAGGGATTGGGAGAGGTAAAATAGTTTTTTTGCAGTTGATGGTGAGTTGCCCTATTTTGTTTCTTTTTGTCACCGCAGCTTTTTTGTCTGCATATATAAATGTATTTCTAAGTGTACAAACATTTTCTGCCACTGATTTCACCTGCAGATGCTCTATTTATGTATTTTGTATTGAATAAAGTTTCATCACACATCTGTATGACTCTTGTGGAGTATTTGTCATTGTATGCATGCATTTATGGTGTTAGAAAACTATTAGTGGTATCGCATATATATATATATATATATAAGTAGGGGCGAGTTAATTTGGGTTGTTATTGATAAAACAGATTTTATCAATAATGAGTGGTTGAGCCAGGTGACTGCAGTCAATAATAAACATTTTTATAAAAATGTGATTATTTACTTTTCATCTAGCCGTGCTGTACAGGAAAAAGTCTAAATGTTGTTACTTGTTTGGTTTCACAGTTTTTAGGAATGCTCTAATTTCTGTTATGAAGGAAAATTATACAGAGTAACAGCTGAGAGCAAAATGTGAGAGTTAAATATTTATTATTATTAATAAATATTAATATTATTTTGGTAATTAAAATGTTTTATTTTCTTGTGAAATTATTGTACTATATAATGAATATCAAGTCAATATATTATTTCAAAAATGATTTTATACATTTTTATGAGATGAAATAGGCCAAAAGCCAAATTATACTATAATTGTATTATTAGTAATATGTATAATAAATCATATTGTTTAATCAATTATTTTTGCTTATTAACATTTCATTAAGCCATGTTAATACAGGTATCATATTTTGATATTAATTTAATTCACATATTCCTATTGTTATTGTTATTATTACTACATTTATATTTATAATGCATAATATTGTTTATTATATTATATTTGTATTAAATCGTTTCTATATAATATTATTTAAATATTAATATAATTACATGTTTAGTAATCTTTATAATAATCAATCATATTAATATAATTATTATATTATTGTCACGTAATCCACGCAAAGGTATGCGGTATAAAAGTCCGGTGTGTCATAATAAAAGCTCTTCCTGTCTACGGCTAGCCTATCGCTCCCCACAATGCATTGCGCTGAACGATTACGCACACACAGGATCGCACTTCACCCGGCCTCATCGCCCGTTCTGTCGTTTACAAACCGTCCAAATCCATGCGGATTATAGCGAGAAGAACACTAGAGCACACACAGCCAGCGCCTTCCAACAGTATGGAGTCCACCGCCAAGAGAGACGCGGAGAGCACATGTGTGCTGTGCTGCCAGGACATCGACCTGTTCGCGGTGGGGAAGTGCGATCACCCGGTGTGTTACCGCTGCTCCACCAAGATGCGGCTGCTGTGCGAGCAGAAGTACTGCGCCGTCTGCCGGGAGCAGCTCGACAAGGTGCCGCCGCCTCCCCTCCAGCAGCGAGCGAGCGAGCGCAGGCCTCGGCCGTTTCACACACACACACACACACACACACCGCAGCCTGGCGACAGCACCAATAACTTGGGCTACATACACTTATAATGGGAGCGGCCGTGTTTGTCGCTAGCTAGCTAGCTAGCAGTGTGGAGAAGTTGTCAGGAAAAAGTTTAGCTCAGTTGTCTCATCTTTCACAAGTGAAATTGAGGTAGTTGTTTGACTAATTGTTGTTATGACCTCTGTTTTTGATTGTAGATGCATTTGGAAAGTTGTTTTTAGTTTAGAAGTGAGCTGGTTTAGCGTAGCAGTGGTGATTTATTGCCTGACGTTTCCCGTGACAACCAAGCAGCTCACTAGCGTTAGTTGGCTACAGTAAGTCCTTCACGCTGTAGTTTACTTCACGTGGATTAACATATGATTTGATGTGTACATCATCTGAAAGCTGAATAAATAAGCTTTCTATTGAGATATGGATGGTTAGGATAAGACAATATTTGGCCGAGATACAACTATTTGAAATCTGGAACCTGAGGGTGCAAAAAAATCAAAATATTGAGAAAATCGCCTTTAAAGTTGTCCAAATTAAGCTCTTAGCAATGCATATTACTAATCAAAAATTACGTTTGGATATATTTACGGTAGGAAATTTACAAAATATCTTCATGGAACATGATCTTTACTTAATATCCTAATGATTTTTGGCATAAAAGAAAAAATCAATAATTTTGACCCATACAATGTATTGTTGGCTATTGCTACAAATATACCCCAGCGACTGAAGACTGCTTTTGTGCTCCAGGGTCACATTTATGAGAGGCAAGGATATATCAGGAACAAAGGTCAATATTTTTTTTATTTTAATAATTAGACGTGATTTTGGGACCGCTCAGCTGAATTGTGCTGTTGTGTAATCCGCTTCAGATAACTCTCGCTAGGATCTACTAGACGACGTGTGCTTTCTCTGACAGCCTGTCAGCGTGCGACGGCATGTTGACAGTGCGTGACTCGCGTGACAATCAATCAAGAGTGCGTGCCTCTCTAATTTGCCTGTTAAGCACAAGTACATTAATCAGCGAGTCTGAAATTGAAAACATTTATTATTTAGTCCTTTTTGCTTAATTGACAACGTTGTTCATGCTCTAGAAGGGGTGTTTAATTCTTAAAAAATACTTGTTTTTTTCTCTTCTGTAATAAACAAAAAAAAATTATTTTAATTTGATTTTTTTTCTGATTTTCCAGGTGGTCTTCATAAAGAAACTTGAGCCCTTTGCCGCTCTGAACATTCATCAGTACCAGTATGAGAAGAAATTTGACATATACTTTGCAGATGGAAAGATATATGCACAGTTCAGGTATGAACTTTTTTTCAGCAGGGATGAGAAAAACGATCCTTTTGACAATATTCTGTATATGAATGTATTTGCTCAGTAATTGTTTCAAGTAAACATTCATTGTAGATTGAAAAGTTTTAATGTAAGAATAAAATGGATGAGATACATTCTGTTGAAAATAATCAAGGCAGGATTCCCATGTTTTTTTCTGAAGAACCACAAAGGAAAATGTATTTAAAAACTATGCTTATATGTTCCCGAACATATTGTATTAAAACAATAATGTAACCATGCACAATAATGAACTGTGATATTTACCTAAATTTGTGCGAATACTTAAATCTATAAAAAATGGCACAGACTTGGATATTTTTGAACCTGACATGACATGAGTTGCACTAGTTTTGAATCAACTCATTGAAATAGACAGTGTAAACAACACTTGACGTCATCTTTCGGCAGTTTACTTGCCAAATAAAAAGTGCATCATTGCCAGTCCTGTTTTTCAGCTAAAAATCAACAAGATTTGAAATTTGTACCTTACAAGCTCTTTTACAACAAATGCAGGAAGATTTTGTTACATGAATGTCCACAATGCCCAGAACCAAAAGTGTTCTCCAAATTTGAAGAATTAGAACAGCATATGCGGAAACAACATGAACTCTTCTGCTGCAAGTTATGTGCAAAGCACCTGAAGGTAGAGTATTGCATTTTAACGAATTATTATTTTGTTTGCGCACACCTTATTCCTTCAACGAATAGTTTGCTCTGTGTACAGATATTCTCATGCGAGAGGAAATGGTACAGTCGGAAAGACCTGGCTCGACATCGAACACAAGGGGACCCGGATGATACCTCGCATCGTGGGCATCCGCTTTGTAAATTCTGTGATGATCGATATCTGGACAACGATGAACTATTGAAGCACCTGCGGCGAGATCATTACTTCTGCCATTTCTGTGACGCAGATGGAGCTCAGGAGTATTACAGGTAAAAGACCAGTTCTGGTTCACTATTTTTTTTAAGCTTGTTAATTTGGTTGTTAAATTGGTTTATTTCCAAATGCAACTCACTGTAGCCATGTTTACTGTCATGCACCCAAATGATGCCTCAATTGAACTGAAAAACCTTTCATATAAACCCCTCAATCGTTTTAATTGAGCTCATCTTGAGTAAAATTTCAGTCTAATTGAAAGGGGTGGTGTAGACCTGAAATCATCCAAAAAATTAAGGAGAATGAATAAAAAGAAAAAGAAAAAAAATTAAGCATATAAATGAAAATTAGTGGATGTAAACTTACGTAGTGTAGGGCCTATATGAAATCCGTTTAGTTTTTCCTCAAATCCTGTTTTAATTTTCTTGATTCTGTTTTTTTTTTTTTTATACTCTCGTTTTCAATTTTTCAAGGTTACACTTTAATGGTTAAATAACATTTTTTGGTTAAATCATGTATCATTCATTGAAGTAAGAACCTATACAATTTAATAACAATTTTTAAAGGCCCTGTTTCTAAGATTTTGTTTTATTTTTCCCAAATTTCATGTCTTGGGGCATAATTTTTAATTTCATTTGAATGGTTTATTTATTTATTCATTTGTTTTTTATAATAATAGGCCCATGAGAAAATTGTTTTTTTTGTTGTTGTTTTTTTATCAATTCTGTGTTGTCCGTTTTAATTTTTCTGGATTTATGGTATAATACAAATGTATTATCTGTCATAATCAGGCATATAAGGCATAAAACATTAACATTTTAATTAGAAATACATTCTGCAGTACAATAGTAATGTATTTCTGCCAATATTTGTTAAAGTTAAAAGCACGTTAAACCAAACCTTTATTTTGACAGGTCGCCACAAAGACCTTTAATTTTCTGTGTGTATATAACAATATTTTTATTAAGTGAATTGGTGAAATGCTCGTAAAAGGATTCTCAGAGCAGCTCTGGAGATAAAGTTTATGTCCTCATATAGTGAGATGGCAGATGCTAAAAAAACAAATCACAAGCATCACACATGCTTCAGTGTGTGTACTAACTGGGGCACTCATTTAGACAGAGACCTGCAGAACATGCAGACTTCATAGCAGTCTTTTTGCACTGTAATATTCACAGAATTTAAATGTTAATTCACTTAATTTAAGTATTATTTTTGTCCTATAGCGACTACCAGTACCTCAGCGAGCACTTCAGAGAAAGCCATTATCTCTGCCAGGAGGGCCGCTGCAGTACAGAGCAGTTCACTCACGCTTTCCGCACAGAGATTGACTATAAAGCTCACAAAGCTGCTGCCCACAGCAAAAACCGGGCTGAGGCACGGCAGAATCGCCAAATCGACATTCAGTTCAACTATGCACTCAGACAACAACGACGAAATGGCGGTAAAGCTGATTTTGCTCTTTCTGTGAGTTGGGTATAAATTAGGGGTCGCATGCCTTAATCAAGCCCATCTGGATGTCTGTTTTAGGTCTGATAGTTGGTGGCGATGACTATGAGGAAGTGGATCGCTTCAACAGACAGGGAAGACCAGGAAGAGGACAAGCCCCAGGAAGACAGCAGAATGTCAGGAGCTGGAGATATAATCGGTAGGTCCTCATCAGTGCTGCATTCTGACATATGAGAGAGCTTATGGAAGACTGAGAGAGTTGTTGTCCTCAGAGAGGAAGAGGACCGAGAGATCGCAGCTGCTTTGCGAGCTTCGATGGCCAGCCACCAGGAAGAGAGAAGCCATGTGCAAGAGAGAAGCAGTCAGAAGCCACGCAAAGACGAAAAGATGGAGCCTGATGAAATGAGAAACAACAGAGGCACTGCCAAGCAGACGAACGAAATGCAAGGTATGGCAATCGAAAATGTGAGTGTTTGTTTATTTATTTATTTATTTGGAAGTTGATGAAATTGCATGTTTGAATATATTTCAGCTCAATCAGTGAAGAGTAATCCCTCTTTGGCTGGTCAGGACTTCCCTGTTTTAGGGGCAGCTGCACCTCCAGCCCCAATTCAAAGGTACTGTATGTTTGTCCTGTTTTTAGTAAGATGGGTCTCTTTTATGTATTTTTTCCCCATGTAGGAATACTAAGATAACTTCTTTTTTAAAAGTGCTTGCTTCCAGATATGAATTAATTCAAATTTGTTCAGTGACATGAATACACTGCTTTCTGTGATTTTTTTTATTTTTATTTTTTTTATTTATTTTTTTAATGTCTGTATTGAAATTTAGATTTTTGGGGGACATAAAGTCAGAAACGTCAGGCTGATATAACTGTCTTGCAATTGTTAATTGAAATAAAGCAAAAAAAAAAATGTAATATTAGAAAAACTTAAACCTAAATGAAAATGAGAAATGTTGCCTTGGCAGCTAACTGAAACGAAAAAAAAAAGTTTAAGTTAATTAAATTAAAGCTAAATAAAAGTATTTAAAAAAAAAAGCACAAATAAAAACAAAATGAATTAAACCTCAATTAAAATTAAAATAAAAACAATAAATAACAAATAATATAAAAATAAATGCTAATTTATAAATTTTATAATAGTACAGAAATAATGCTAAACTTACACTAGCTTAAATCATTATTATTTCATAAAAATGGTTTTTTTCCTCCAAATAATAGTCACGTGGTGCAACCGACATGCAAAACAACTTCGTTTTTATTTTATTTATTTTTTTTAAATGGGCATAAATTAAAAAATGTCAGGCTGATACAGCTGTCCTGAAATCATAATGAAAGAAAGAGGCCACTGAATTCTTGAAAACGAATCCTTAAGTACTTTGATTTGCTGGACATAACAAAAGATTATGCTAAAGTCATATGGTGCAACCAACAAATATGCAGAACAAAACAGGAAATGATGTCAGAGAGAACCCAAGCCATTTCTGCAGGTCAGATTATCATTTGGGGTGGGCTCATAGTTGTGGCTATATGCAACAGCAAGAAATTTGCTATTAAACATCGAGTTTAATTTAATCAGATCAGTATTTTACAGTGTCTGTCTCCCTATCATTGCAGCAAGATCAAACAAACTTCTGTCTCTCTGAAGGAAGATGATTTTCCAAGCTTGTCTGGCTCAGTAGGTTCCGCTCCAATGACACCTGCATACAAAAATCAACCCAAGAAACATTCGTCCTTCCAGGAGGAGGACTTTCCTGCACTGATCTCCAAGATCAAACCACTGAAGTCTCAATCAAACACAACATCGGCCTGGTCTCAAGCTGGAAGCAAACCTGCGGTGGTTTCCAATAAACCTGTGGTTCTGCCCACCAAAACAGCTCCTACGGTCTCTTCATCCATACTGTCCGCCAGTGACCCGCCGCCCAGTGGAAGTGTGCCTCAGCCTCTCACTGCCTCCTCATCTCGCCGCAAAAAGAAGCTCACCTCCTCTGAAACCCACAAAGCTCCACCTAAAGTCAAATGTCTGTCCTCATCGGATGACGAGGACCTCCAGACCAGTAAAACGGCTCAGGAAATCCGCACGGTACCAACTATGCTTGACATCTCCACTTTGTTGACGGTAAAAGATGGCTCATCTCAGACCAACCCCAAAACCAATAAGAAAAAGAAACAAGCCACAACATCATCTCTGGGTTCCCCCTCATGCACTCCTGAGTCCGTGTCCAAAATGGCTCACAAAGAGAACGTTCCCGAGACGAAGCCACCAGACAACAGTCTCCCCTCCAAAACAAACTCCTTTATAAAAGGACTCCCGGAGAAACCAGCAGAAGCACTGTCCCCTACATCATTTCCTGAAAATATTCCTTCCCCTTTAAAGCAGCCGGTAACCGACCAACCTCCTCCACCCAAAGAAGAGGAATTTCCAGCACTTATCTCCAGAAAACCTCCACCTGGTAAGCCGGTTCCTTTCCTTAAAGTGGTCATATGATGCGATTTCAAGTTTTCCTTTCTCTTTGGAGTGTTACAAGCTGATTGTGCATAGATAAGATCCCTGAAGTTGCAAAGACTAAAGTCTCAAAACCAAAGAGATATACTTTATCAAAGTTAAGACTCTGCCACGCCCCCCTAAAACGGCTTGTTCTAACACGCCCCCACATATCTACGTCACTATGTGGAAATATTTGCATATTGCGCCCAAATGTTCAGGCAAAGAAAGAAGGCGTGGTTTCGCAGTTAGTGTTGAAGCAGCCATGTCAGAGAGACGCTGTGTGTTTCTAGGCGAAAGCAAAAGCACTTTATTTGGCCTTCCGAAAGTAGATGCATTTAGGAATATTTAAGATCACTTACAACAGAACAGCAATGCATTTTATGGACGACCGTTTCGTGAACCTAGGAGAGGAGGTAATTCTGACTTTGCTATGACAATCTGGCGCTTCTGAATCAGCTACTGTTTTATTAGTTTAAGTATTTGCTATTGACTGTTCAAATGCGGAGTTTTGCGCATTTTGTGTGTGTGTGTGAGAGAGAGCGAGAGAGCGAGTGAACGAGTGAACGAGTGAGCGAGTGAGAGAGAGAGAGAGAGAGAGAGAGTGAGAGTGAGTGAGAGAGAGAGAGTGAGTCACATCACAAACACATACCAGTCACGTGACTCTGTTCCCCTTTCGGCTTGAACTGATGGTAAAACTAAAGACATTATTTACTGTCTTTACATTTATTTTGAAAGATGAAGCTCGCGATTATGGTGAGGGGCGTTACATTTCCGACGAGTGCTTGCGGTGTTCGGCCAATCACAATGCACTGGGTCAGCTGGCCAATCAGAGCAGACTGCGCTTGTCGGAAGGAGGGACTTTGTAGAAAACTAAGCGTTTGAGAGGGGCGGGGCATAGAGGACCTACAATAATGTACAGTATTTGAAAAATAATGTGTTTTTTGAACATTAAAGCATGTCAACATATTCTGTTACACCAAATACACAAAATAATGATCTTTAAAAAAGCATCATATGACCGCTTTAAAAAGGCAGTGCCCAAAATGACATTGTTTCTAAGTGCGTACTTGTGTTTTCAGGCTTTAAAAGTGCATTTCCGTTGAAGAGCATTCAGAGTGTGCTGCCGCCTCCTCCTCCTGGCCTTGGGCCTGTTGTCAGCAAACCTCCTCCAGGATTCACCGGCATCCCGCTCAACAGTAATGTGGAATCGTCGATGCCGGCTGTTGACAGGTTAGAGGCTGTGATGTGTGCTGTTATACGTGTGTGTGATGTGGGGGAAGTGGTGTTCCCTGTTTTGAGTCACTGTTGTATTTTGAGTACATGAAAGCTGACTATTGATGGCAAGCAATATTTTTAATAGTCTTAGGCCTGGTATTACAGACGGCTTAGTTTAAGTCAGGATTAGGCCATAGTTCAATTAGGACATTTAAGTTTATAAACATGCCTTAGATAAAAACACTACTGGTGTGCATCTTAAGACAAAACAATGAAACTGACACTTTAAGATCAGTCAGTACAAGTTACTTTCAGTTAAAACAGCTCAGACATGCATTTTAGTCTGGGACTGGACTTAAGCCTTGTCTATGAAACTGAGGGTTAATTTTATAAAGCCAGTATCTGAGAGAATGTTGATATAAATATAATAGATATAATACTTTTTTTAACAATTTGTGTTAAAATTGAGGGGTAAAAAGGGATGATAGTTTTTTTTCTTTTTGTTTTTTTTGCAGTTCTCCTGAAGTGTCATATCAGTGTAGCCACAGTTACAGTTCATCTTATGAGGAACTTATGAGGTTCATCTTGTTAGGAACTTACTGTTAATTACTCTTATTCTTTTCTGTATTGCACTTTTTGGGTCTGTAATTTAACATTTGATGTACATTTATTTTACCTTACACTTCCATTAAATAATAATAAGAATAATGCAAGATATTACAAGATGATAATCAGAAATATCAGCATATTAGAATGATTTCTATAGAATCATGTGACACTGAAGACTGGAGTAATGATTCTGAAAATTCAGCTTTGCATCACAGAAATAAATTGCATTTGAAAATATATTCAGATTTGACAATAGATAATTGTTTAAAAATTCACCAAAGTTCTAATTTAATAATTTATCACTAATTAATGTAAAAATAGAAAAGTGATTCAAGTGTTTTATCTCATTAGGCGTTGTTTTCTCTTTCAGAGTGACACCTGCTATTGGACCCTACCTCATACCCGACAATTTCCAGCAAAGAAACATGGACCTTATTCAGTCTATTAAGAATTATCTTCAAAATGATGAAACCAAGTTCAATGAGTTCAAAAACTATTCAGGCCAATTTAGACAGGTACCTATCCAACCAAGACCATTTAAATTCAATTAATATTAGTCCCACATATTATTATTATTATTATATATTAGTTCTGCTAGTTTAAGCGAATTGTATTAAATCCCTTGTAATTATTATGTAGTTCTATGAGCTTGTTAATTGAGACATTAAATATTTTTAAATATATTATTTCCAAAATACACTTGTCACATCCTGCAGGACCCTTCAAAATGAACTAGTGAAGAAAAAATGTGTTTAAAAAAAATAGTGTAAACTGGTGACCCATTATAGAACCTATGATACTCACTGCCTTACACATACATTGTATTACCCATTAATATTTTCATTGATCTCTAATTTTCCTCTTGAGCAGGGTATAATACCTGCTGTCCAGTACTACAAAAGCTGCCAGGAGCTGCTAGGAGAGAATTTCAACAGGGTCTTCAACGAGCTGCTGGTTCTCCTACCAGACACTCGCAAGCAACAGGAGCTTCTCATTGCCCACGGAGACTTTAAGGCTCTCGAGAAACAGCAGGAAGGCTCCAAGCCCAAAAAAAACAAAAAGAAAGCCTGGCAGACAGGCACTACCAGCAACAGCGTGGAGCTGGACTGCCAAGTGTGTCCCACCTGTAAGCAGGTGCTGGCTCTGAAAGACTTCAACACCCATAAAACCCTACACATCGGCGATGATGACTTCCCCTCTTTGCAGGCCATAAGCAAGATCATCAGCTAGCTGCCAGCAGACGCACATCCACGGCTCTCTGTGACACAGGACCTGGTGCTGCACCAGGATAGTGCTGAGATGCTCGAAAGGATGAGGGCTTGTCTGAGCTGCAGTGGTAATGTTTACTCGGATTGTTCAGATTCGGAAAGTTTTGATGACACCTTTTTTCGAAGGGGAAAGATCAACCCTAAAAAGTGCAAGTGTAACTGTTTTGAAGAGAAACAGGATTAATCTACTTGAAAGCTTGAGTTCTAATGTTGATTCATTTATTACTCCTCCAGTTCATCTTTTTCATCAGGTTTTCCAGTGCTGTTAGCATGGTCTTTTTTTTTTGTAATAAATTGTAAGGTTGGCTGCCTTTGAAAAATAACATTTATTTCAGAATGCTCCTGCCGTATGATTGAAATTTATTCATTTCTCATTTCTGTTTACAAACTCTACAGTACAGAAAAATAAAATGGTTAATATATAGCATTTCTTACAGTAAGCTACAGTGATCTGTCTACTGACTTTTGACATTTTTGAATGATTGTTTGTGTAAATAATTAGCAATTAAACAATCAAGCCAGGGAACGAAATGCACGGCTCGACACACTTTAGGCCACATGTGATTGTCTTTACACAATTAAATCAGTGTGAGGAAATTTCACCTGCCTTAAAATATACAGGAAAAACCAGAGGGACATTTTGAAAGGTTGTCAAGATGGGATCAGATTTCGGTGTGTTTTGTATAAAATACCAAATTGGTACGGATGGATAAATCTTGAATTTTTTTTGGTTAGATTTTTGTTAAATACCATTGTGCTTGTGCCTCTTAAATATTTCTTCACACTCCCACAGAGTTGACTGTTGAGACTTCAGTACGGCCACCTTTTCTCATCTCTCGTTCAGGAACTGCTATTCGTGCCACGGCCTTGTGGTCAACAACAGTTTGCGATGTGTCAGGACATATCTGCAGAATAAATGCTGGTCAAACATGATCAACCTTTAGATTAAGTTATTCAAGCTCCAGTTTGTGTATTTCATCTGTTTGTTTTGTGCAACATACTCGAAAATGTTAACTATGGAGATATTTAGAGGAAACGTTCACACAAAAATGAAAATTCTGTCATTTTAAGAAACCTTTTATTACATGCGATGCAAAAGGAGATATTAGGCTGTTAGGGACTGAGGACGTTATTGAACATTCACTTTCATTTTTCCATTCAGTAAAAGTGAAAGAGAGACTTTCTGCCCTTTTGTTCCACAGGAGAAAGACATTTATACAGGTTTAAACAACATGAGGGTGAGTGAGAGGGTCATTTTTGAGTGAGCTACGCCTGTCTTATTTGACATATGTTTTGATTTTGGTTGTTAGATTGGATCTTAAGGTGTACAGGTGCATCTCAATAAATTAGAATGTCGTGGAAAAGTTCATTTATTTCCTTTCACAAGCTCAAGTTTTCTTTTTAAAAATGTTAAAATTTAAACATGGGATATATGAACTATTTGAAGCAATTAAAGGTATAGGTCTCCCAAAAATAAAAATATGCTGGAAATGTACTTTACCCGCAGGCCATCCAAGATGTGGATGAGTTTGTTTCTTCATCAGAACAGATTTGGAGAAATTTAGCATTG